CAGTATATTTTATATACAGGAGAAGCTGATTTCTTAAAAGAAAGATCTTCACAAACAGTTTGTAAGTTTGGTGTCAAAAAAAGAAGAATGGGAAGAGAATTATGATAAAGTACCAGTGAAAACTGAGGTAATTTGTAAATTATAGACTTTTACAGGTCTCTTATTAGAGAAAAATGGTTAAGTAGTTGTAATGTTGTTTTTCTGAAGATCATTTTCTTGAAATGAGATCAGTGGTAAGATGTTTCTAGTCAAAACCTGAAAATACATCACATGTTTGCTGAATTATCTACAGAATTAAACCCTATACTGCATACAAGTTGAAGAATTCCATGTTAGATCAGCCATAATGTAGTATATGATGTGAATGTTTGGTGACTTCCAGTGTATCATAAGTACGGTAGTACTTATAGTAGGAATGGGCAGGATATGCAATATGTGCAATACAAATTAAAATCTCAAACACACTGCAAACAGCATGTAAACAAAACTTTATAAACACTTTATACACACTGTTGAGTAGTAAGCAAACCATCAGAATAACAAGCTAACAAAGCACTTGAGACAGTCGGTAGAGTAAAAAACAAGATTTCACAAAACTACAAATTTGTCAGTCAGACTATTTGAATGACTGCCTAACATTATTTGAAAGGCATAGCTCTCTCCTGCCTTCCCCATATACAAATCTAAATGCACGAGATTGAATTACGCTAAATTGGCTAAAAGCATTTTCATAGTTTTAATTATAACCCTAATAATAACAATAACCATTTTGCAACACAACTAATGAGCTAACAGTACATTAGTAGCTATATTTTATTATTATGAGCACACTGTAAGTTGCCAAGTAACAATTAACACACTTATGTTGTGTGTGTGTGTGTGTGTGTGTGTGCATGATTGCTTATGCAAGTGTGCCATGTGATCAGCCTGCAGTGTATCAGCTAGATAACAAAATGTGGACTATGTAGATTCTCTAGATCTAGGTTATAACTAAAGTCTTATGTTGATAACTTTGAAAAGTCTTTGTCTCAGTGGAGAGAGTATCACAGCAAGAATAGAGATAAGGCTAGAAATAATAATGCTGAATATGTGATACAAGTCTTAGCCATTAATGAAGCCAAAGAAAAGGCTACCATCCTGGCTAGATGGAAGAAAAATTATTGCAAAGATATCAGCAAAAGCCAGGAAATGTCGAGAGATAGCCCTAAGAACAGCTATGAGAAGGACAGGTCTAGAGCACAGTTACTCTCAAGACTTAGTACCAGAAAAAGCTATGAGACAAGTGTAAACAATTTTTAAATAAAAAAATTAGGAAGTAGGAATGGGAGCACCAAAAAGTAAAGAAATAACGTAGGAATTGGCAGGATAACTTTAAAACACTTGATGGTTTTTCACATGATGCAACCTCAAAGCTGGTTTGGCCATATGCTTTATTTAATACACAATATTATAAGGATATGTTCTGAAGTAGTAAAAGAAAAATTATTTATTCTTACGATTAGGAAATATCACTAACACATTCATACACTTTGTTATAATTGTGATTAATGGGGTTTTCAATTAACGTTTAGAAGCTACAAATTAAATGAACATATTATTATGTATTAACCCTACCACAATAAGTGGACATCTGTCAGATTACATGTCAATTTCAAAATTGAAGTATGGGTAATAAGTCTAACTATTGTAACAATTTCTAACTCAAAAATGTTTTAGAATTGATATTTAGTAATTTTTATTTTATGTAACTTGCAAAGAAAAATTTTAAAAATATTTTTACTTTCATCTCTGTGCAAATGATGGAAAATGTTTATTTATTATTACTGTTTAGTTTATTGCTTATTTACTGATAAGGAATACTTTTAGCAAAAATTACAGTAGCTAAGGTGACAAAAGTAATGACAAAATATTGATTCTAAAATATTTTTGGTTTGAAACTGTTGAAATACAGTTAGAGTTAAAATATGAAATTGACTTTAAAGTTTCTGTCTTAAAAATTTCCACTGTAATTTAGAAATTAAGTTACATATTTAATCCTAAACTTATTTATGTGAAATGTTTCATACATACAATGTTATTGCATTGTTCAATATTTATAAGCAACAAAAGATTTATTTAGTTATCAGTCATCAGTTGTAATAATAGTGTGTATATTTGTTATTAGAGACAATTCAGTGGTGTTTTTACATGTTTATAAGTGTCTTTATAACAATGTTAAGGCCTTAATTGTTGTTTGCTAATGCAGTTGCTCAAAACACTGTAACCAACCAAAGAAAAGAAATAATCACAACTCATTTTAATTATTGGGCTAATGAGTATTTAGACAGTCTTTTTTGATATTCTTCAAGTATCCTAAATCTAAAGTTAGTGTAAAAATTAGAAAAACATCAAAGAAAAACACCTTACAAAGTTTGCAAGTCATTAGGGAATGAATAAAACTAGAAAGTCTATTCAGATAATATTCTGTTATTGTGTTAACAATTAACAACAATGTTTTAACTTCTCCATATTAGCTGCAGTAATGTTTTATTTTTACAATGATGGTATTATACCAGCTAACTTAAAAAGTTTATTGTGTTAACACTATAATAAAATGTTCAGTATTTTTTACATGAAAGAAAATATTTCTGTTATTATAAAATAGTATTTTGGGTTAGTAAATGTTGATTAAATAGTCCTAAAGGAACTTAAATAAGCCAAATGAAATTAAAATAACATTGATATTATGGTAATATTGTTCTTTTGTTTGTGGGCTTTTTAACTATCTGGTGAAAATAATTCATAGTTTAGCATGTTGGTTTATTTGTATGATATTTAACATTATTATATTTTCATGGATGATTCAACTTTTCATGCAATTTCTCATTTACTGATTTGTATCCTCATAAACATTAGGTTTTAGTTGTGCTATATGTAAATTTCTACTACTAACTTGACACAGCTTAAACAGTAATGTGCCATCATAAATTAGCTACACATGTAATTTTTTTCTAAAGTTATACTGGGGATTTTTCACTAGTTAAAAAATGTGTTTGGGAGAATTTGATAAAATCAGGCATGTTATACTAATTTTACATTTTTCAAAGAAAATTAATTATACAATAGTTGTTCAAGCTAACAGCTGATGAAAGAATGTTTTCTAATGTTTATAAATAGGAATGTAAGAAAAGTGTATTTGATTAGCTATACTGATTTTCAGGTTTGCTCTGAGTTCATAGCTTGTTGTGGTTGAAAATTACATTAATTGCTGTATAAGTTTTGATTTTATTAGTGTTTGTTACTCGGATGAGCTTTTGTTAATGAATTGTTCCTCTTACTGCTGACACTTCTCTGAGGAAAATCCACAGCTTTGAAAACAAGTTTTGTATACTTATGTTTTAAATTAAGTAAATTGTAGAAACCTTGTATGTATATATTGGATTGTCTGTTTTAGTGACTCATAGTTGTTTTTATTAACCTTTTGATTTCAGAACACATTTGTCAGAATACAGTCAGATGAACCTGATGACACACAACAAGATGATATTATTTCTGAGTTGAGCAAGAATTATGATGATAATGACTCAAAAGATGATGTGTTGAGTGGGAAGAAAGAAAAGAAATTTCAAGATGACTTTCAAGAAATTGGCTCTGGGTTGGAAAGTTTACCTGGTAAATACAAACATCTTCAAAATACTTCTTAAAAACATTACTACTGGATAAGATGAGATAATGTTACATTTAGTTTAATCTGTTTTTAGTTCAGCTCTAGATAAATAGCTTACTTTTATCAGAAGTTATTATTATTAGGTAATAATTTGAAGTATCTAAGTAAGGTTGTGGCAGTCTAATATCTATCAGTCTTTGTTATTTTTAGTAGCTTATACAACCATTTATGTCTAATTATTAGTTGCTGTTTTTATTTCTACTAGATAATTATTACTAAGTAGTTTGATACTACCTTCAAACTTACCTCTTTACACAGTAGTTATTTTTTGCATTCCTACCAATGCATGTCACTAGTCTTGAACTATCTCCTATCTAAGTCATGTTTTTACATGAATTGCACTTGCTCAACATGCAGCAATAGTCCTTCCAGTTGGAGGGTGACACATTCTCCATGTGCAGTAGATCTCCATAAGGACTTACATTCAAAACTAACTTCATTCTTAAACTTTGTGATTGATTTGATATTCGTTGATATTGTAATTACTGTCTTTCTGACTATCTCTTCTTTCAGTACATGCTTACTCTTCGTTTTCAAATTTCATGGAGTTTATTATTTCATTTCTCACTTTTGTTAGTTTCTGAACAGTGGTAAACTACAAGCTGTGTAAGGGTTACTTTTCAGATTGTTTTTCAAACCTTCTAACAAGAATTATTCTGTACTCTTGCTTGTACTACAGAAAATTTCATGCATCAACTGGTTGGTTTCTGTACACAAATTTTTAGGCCTATGATCTGTTACTTTGCTGGGCCATGAGTCATTCTTCTAAGGTTTTCCTAAATTTAAAAACCTGTCGATAACAGTTGTTGCATGTATATATGTATGTGTGTTTGTGTATATATATATTTATATTTAAGAAAATCTGAAAACATTTTTGAGCAGTTCTACAATATGAACTCTCATGTTTCTATGGCTTTGTCCTTTCAAGGTTCTAACTCTGTTTATGAGCCAAGATTATATCTGGAATGAGACACGTTAATGTCCTCTACTAGGGTTGTTTGCAGGACACTAGATACCATACAACCTTATGCTTTGAAATTCCTCACAGCTTCTAATATGTATATGACTGCTGGAGGTCCTTTGTTTGTGGAAAATTTTGCTGCTAGTTTTCACCAGTTATCTCTCTCGCTACTTAACTTGGTGGATTTCACTATCTTTGTGACCACAAAATGACTATCAGAGTTTCCATACTATAACCTTTAATTTGTTTTATGTTTCTTCACAAACATTTTCAAGCTTTTAGTAAGCAATACAAGTCTTTTTTTTTTTTTGAAAAAAAATCAGAATTTTTTAATAAAATATTTTTGATAAAAATTTGTCTGTGAATATACTGAGTCAGAGTGTTGACTGCTCTGAGGGCAAAGTGATTTTCATATTAAGATTAAAAATGCTTTTTTTCATCAGAAAATTGTCAAATTTCATTTGTGTAATCTATAAGACTGCCCAAATAAATATCCAACATTTTTTTCATTAGAATTTTATATTTCATATGTCCTTTTCTGTATCCATCTGGTCAATTTGAATGACCTTGTAACCACCATAAAAATACAAAATAAATTTAAATTACCCTTTTTTCTCTTTAGAATGATCGCAAATTGTAACCTGAAATTACAATTGTTTATTCTAAAAAAACTTAAAGCTTGTTACAGTATATATCAGTTTTTACTTAATTTTATTGTTTTATTGCCTTTGAACCATATATAACTAAAAATCTCACCATAGAAGTTGTAAATCACTCAATGAACATGCAGCTCATGTTACTGTATGGAATTACTTAATGCATGAGGTGCTTGTGAGCATACCTTGAGAACAAATTTTTAGTATTATTAGTAATTTTCATTATCTTGCATAATTTAACCTAAAAAGTTTCTAATTTCTGCATTTTAGTTACCTTTATAATAATAAATAAAGAATACCCCAAAAAAAAGCAGTACTTACCTCGATTTTATTTTTTTTGCTGTTGACTGTTATTGAACCTTAAGCCTACTTTTTTATACTGATGGTACTACCACACTAAATAATTTTTTATTTAATTAAATACTAAACTTAAAAACACAGATCAATAACATGCGAAAAGCAAACAATGTCTTATAACTATCATAATATTTCTGCCTTTCTAACTATGTGATAAGAGCCGCTACAAATTCAACTGAGATCATTGACGTAATTTCCATGAGAATACTTTTGAAGCTGAATGATGAAATAGACAGTGCTCTGTATAGAAAACAACATGATATAATATGTCATTTGATAGATTAAAACATTGGCTTTCTATTGGCTATAAATAATATAGTATTAAAATATCAGAGAGAACTATTGGCAGTTTGTGAAACAGAGGATATAACATGTGGGCATGGCAAGTGCATCTGATTTTCTAGTTTATGGCTCTGTAAACAAATAAGATTGAAAACTATAAAAATTATGCTTTGCTTGAGTAAAATATTCATTATAATGAGTAACTTATGTTAAATTCTATACTTCTGGGAGGGGTGGTGAGGGAAGACCTAAAGAGCAATTCTCATACTATGGGAGGTTGAGGATTTTTTAAAATATTTCTTTATAAAATTAATAACTTAAAACTTATATAATAACAACATTTGTGTAATGAACTACATTTTGATGCCATTTTATGTGTATACAATGGTGATAAAGTACTTTAAATGAATTCCATTACGATACCATATCTCTTTTTGCATAATAGCGTTTCTCATTCAGTGCTGCCCTCTATACTCACAACTTTTTTGCTTGCCATTAGCCTTGAGACTCTCAATTCCACTCATGTTTGATTTTTAAAATTTTTTTTCAGCAACTTTGTTGTTTCTGCTTTTGTTTTGTTTTTCTACAGTTATCCACTCTCAGTTGAGTTATGAATTCCGGATTTCAAATCACTGCTACTACCACAGTAGCTAACACTACTACTGCACCTCAACCTGCAGTCTCTCAGGCTTCAGGCTCGACACTTGGCTGAAGAGGTTTCAGTTTTAGTACGTTGTGAATTGGAGTCCATTATGCAGCCTGTGGTGTCTCCTGATCCCAGACTAGATATTCCCTTTCCCGGTGAATGTAGACAAGAAGATTATGATTTGGATAGTCTTTTTTCCACCTCTTTCCTTTGCTGTGCAATCCCGTAGTCTCCTTGTGGATGCTCCAGATTGTCTTTAGCCTTTGTGGATATGATGTCACAGGTATGTTACCTCTTATCTGTGTCTCCTGTGTCGTTGGGCCCTTTCCTCTGGCTACCTGGTTTTCTCTCTCTTTCCAGATATTGGGCTCCATGCTGACCAGTTTGTGGCACAGTTATGTTCTTGGGTCAGCATATCTCATCCCTCTTATTCCTTGGATAATTATGCTTTAGTGTACCATCATTTGTATTTTCCATTTCTCGACTCTCAAACCTTAGTCTTTGATCTAGGTGTGGAGTTCTGAGAGATTTCCCCAAGCCCAATTTTCCTACCTTCAATTATCCCAGCTTATTCCAGTCACATTCCAAAGCTAATATTACCACTTCAGGGGTCATGCTTATGACTAGCGTTATCTCACATGCCACAGGTGCGGCCAACCTGGCATAGGTTTTTATCAGTGTTTATCCTCTGGGAGATTGAACATTAAAAGGTTGGTCTCTTTCTGCGGTTCTCACCCACAATTCCTCCTTTAGACACCCTCAGTCAGTATTGGTCCCAACGTTACCTGTATGCTTATCCATCTCCTTTCTCAAGTTTTTATCCATTATCCAGTCCACTCCATATCAGGTTCTTCTCATCTTATCTTTTGGTTACCAGTTTTTACTTTCCTTCAGTTACCTTTTCTGCTATCCTTCTTCCTCCTTTGAAATCTCAGTCACCAATGTATCATCCCAATGTTACCAATGTCTGGTCCCTTGCAAGTTGGTCTGCATTCTCCACATGGGTAGCTCCCATTCTTTTCCATTTCGTTCGACCTTCCTCCTCATTGATGTATCAGAGAAAATGGCATGAATTTTGCAGATGGTCTCTGTGCCATGGTTACCTAAAGGGTCCCTTTCTACTGTTCCTCATTCGTCTGATTTTTTTACCTGGCTGTCCAACAATGGTTTTTTCCATTTCTACCATTGCTGGCTATAAAGCAGCCTTGTTCAATACTTTCCATTTCTTCGGTTCCCTTTGAGTGTTTTCCTCTCCAGTCTTCTATTTTTTGTTCTTTTCATTTCCTTCGTCTTCCTCGTCCTATGTCCCTTCCTGATTGGGACCTCACTGTTGTTCTCCATTCCCCTACCATACCTCCTTTCAAACTCTTGGCCACCTATTCCCTGTACCATTTGTCCCTCAAAACCTATTTTTTGCTCCTTTGAACCACATCTGATGATTCCTCAGTTTCAGATGAAGAGATTTCTTCCTTTTAATAGGTTGTTTTCTCCCAGCCTTTGGATGAAAACAGTCCATATCTTGGATGTCTTTTTTTCACATTCCAATAGCCTTGTCATGGTGTGTTCTTTGGCTTGTCCATCACAATGTGGTGTACTGTATTCAAGCTCTACCCTTTGGCAAGGCTTTTGATCTTTATGTCTTCTGCTTGTCACATCCACAGTCTCAGCCTATGTTTCCATTTCTTTCTGGATGCTTGGATACTTTTGCTTCTACACAGTAGACTTCTTCTACAGCTACATCCTTTCTCTCTTAAGAGGTTGTTTGTCTAGGATGACTAGTCTTATTTCTTGGTTTTCCCTGACTATCTGTCTTCCCCCACGTGTCTTAACAATATTCTTACACTTCTTATTGATTCCTGTTTGTAGCACCTTTTTCACCAGCTTTGTCTTGGTTTTCTTTTCTCCACAGACTAGTATCTCAAGCACCTGTTCTTCTTCCTTTAACAAGTTTCTTTTTGCTCCAAAATTCTACATTATTCTTTTGTCTAGGAATTTCATTCCTTCATCTTTGCATGTGGGATTGGCTGTTCCTTCCTTGATGGACAATTTCTCATATT